TTAAAAGATGTCTTACCTCTTAAATTGTTTACAAAACTTCGAGCAACTATCAAAAGTTTTGATGCAAAAAGAAAGCGATGGATATCAAAGTTTTCTCGCTCAATGTTTGATGAGCTGTCAAACACATTACCTTTATATAGTCAATATAAAAGGCTTAAGCCAAGTTGGTTAATGGCAACAATATTACAACAATGGAATAAATTTTATGTTCGGTCTCAATTCTCAGATACTGTAACACTAGATAGTTTTTTAATTCAGGAAGCCATTAAAAAACAATCATACAGTGGTGGGATCGAACTGGTTTCATCTCATTGTGACCCACTAAATAATCTTAAGTCTGACCATGTAAGTAAATAAAATAAAAAACTTTAATGCAACCATATAAGTCAAATCTAACTAGAATATTTTGAGAAATTTTTAAAAATTTATAATAAGATGGGTTATACTTCTTAATTAGGTAAATCTTGCACTTAACATTACTCTTCATGCTGAAGAGCAAAGAATGCTGGGTAAATATTCAAACAAAGAAAATGATATACGTTTCCTTGTGAACCTTTATAGCTGTGGGAATCCATTAGAGACAGCTAAGTTAGGATCTTTGTTTCAAACTTTTGTAGATAAAAATACAAAAAAACAGCTAGATGAAGTTGATAAGTATTTGTTCAAAGAACTAGTAACAAAAAGAAATTATCAAATGGCAGATCAAATGCACAAATTATTTTCAAGCAAAATTCATCAAACTTCAAAAATGTTCTTTGCAATTGGTGCAGGTATCAATATATATATATATATATATATATATATATATATATATATATATATATATATATATATATATATATATATATATATATATATATATATATATATATATATATATATATATATATATATATATATATATATATATATATATATATTAGAGTGCATATGTGATTAGTTTATAAACTTATCACAAATTTTTATTCAACTTAATTCAACTAAATAAGCTTAAAAAAGTTATTAAATAAAGCTTAATAACATATTAAAAAAAATTATTTTTAAATATGTTCAATTAATATAGGTTTTAAATGAATTATTTAAATATTGTTGGTGTTGTGCCAATTTTTTTAATTTTTTTTTAGCTCATTTACTGGGAAATAAGTCCATTGTAGCAATATTACGCGGAAAAGGTTACACCGTTCGGCACGTCCGGTCAGACGAAGTTATACCACCGTAAGATTTTAATATCTATGCAAATAAATAAATCGTCATCAGTAAAAATATCTATGCAAATAAATAAATCGTCATCAGTAAAAATATTGCTTCCTTTGGTGCCTATTGTAAAGCGCATTAAACAAAATATTAGTTTCTCCGTTTCCTTAGTGACATTTCTATCTTACTCTGACATTGACCTCCTCTTACCATTCTTGCGGGATGAATACCGCGGCAGGAGTTGAAAATAAGAATTCCTTTTCTTTCGTAGAATACATGTTTTTATTAATGCAATTAAAATCTATAAAAAATGCTATACTTGAAAATTTATACTGATTGAAGAATTAGACTAAAATTTTTTAGGTTTTCTAATAGTGTAATGAATTTTGTTTCAGGCTGAGATAATCTCAAACTATTTAGAAATTTGCGTACTTCGTCACTAGATTAAACGGCTTTTTTTAAATGACTTCTACGAAATTAATGTTATTTTTATCAAAGCGTTTTAACGATAAAAATCATTTTTATATAAATCTTTTGTTAACATTTTGTCAGTAATAAGATCGCTTTTTTTTTTTGATATTGAAAATTAAAATAGCTATCCAAATGATTTAAAAAAAATTCTAAAATTATTCCTTGCATTTCCTAAATTTTCTTGATCTGTTTTTTGAGTTAGAGCCCCAACTTCGTGTTAAGAATGTTTGCGGAAGTTGTAAATTTTATCTTTGTATAGGACACAGCGTCGTATGGAAAAAGAGGAAAAAATTTTAAAATCGTGGGAAAGCAAGTCCAATAAATCAAAGTAAGTATTTAATTTGCACATTTTGCCTATTGTTAAGATTTTGACGGTTTCAGAAGCGACCTTTATTTATATATAACCTGAATATTTTATTTTTTTTCAGTTTTGGTTTTTCTCATTTTCCCGGTAAATTTGATGATACCCAAAAAGCTCCACAAGTACTTATTTTTAAAACTGAAGTGAAAAAAACATACGTATATTATTACAAGAGTGGAAGCAAAAAAAATCAGACTGCAACAAATTGTTTTATAGTACCTTTAATATTGTCTATCCACTTGCTTATATTCAATTTAGTTACAAAAATTGACTGAGCTATATAAAATGCTGGCGTTTCCTGGCTAGAATTCAAAAGTAATCAGTGAATCTAAACACAGAAGTCTCGTTTTCTGTGTATATGATTTTTTATTGTGTATATGAGTTTATATAAGTCTGTTCTGCAGCTGTTTTTCAAAACGCCTTAAGATACTTATTACGTATTTCGAAAAAAACGCAATTAAAAAAAATTCTTAGTAGAATCTTTTTGTTCAACTTTTTTTGAAGCTAATAATTTCATGAATTTTTTTCATAATTCTTAAAAAATATTTATTCAATAACATTTTTAGGCATTTATTTTAGCTTATTTTGTAAAAGAGTCAAATTTGATTTTTTTCACCTTTAAGGCGTTTTGAAAAGGCTTTCAAACAACTTAAAACTTGCTATATTTTTATGCAAATGTTTCAGGTTTTTTACAAATAAAGTTTAAAGCAAAAAACCTCGAAAGCCATATAGTGGAATTTCGTACTTTTAAATTATTAAAGATTATTTATTTATGCTATATATTTACATAGTTGTATATTTATTTATACGAGATAGTTTTTTATAAATTTGAAAAGAATTGATTTTAAAATTAACCTTATGTATCTTTAAAGTGTGAAGGTAAACTTTGAATCTACGACAAAAAATCCAAGCTTTCAGAAACTTTAATTAGTCAATTTAATTTCTAAAACTTTTTGTTGATTTATGCGAATATAGCCTAACTTAAATTTAGCCTAACCTAAGTCGAACCTTAACTATAAATAATATTAAGTGTTGACATCATGCATATTTTTGTTTTTGTCAAGTTAGTTTTACAAATCTTATTGCAATGGGTTCAGTTGTTTTTTTTAGTTTAAATATCTGTTTTAGGTTCTGAGAAAAAAAAGTTTAAATTTCTGTTTTTAGGTTCTGAGAAGATAAAAAACCGGAATTAATTATTTTATATAATTTTAATTATTTTATATAATTTTAATTATTTTATATAATTTTAATTTATAACGGAATTAAATTAAAAAATATCAATTTTTTCTGCATAATCATCAAAAAGAAACGACCGAACAACTCAAGAAAACCTTGTTCATTTTGTAAAAAATTAAACAAATGTTCTCTATACATACTGTACTAGATAATAAGATAAAACTAGTTTTTGATTAATTTTTGTGGACAGTTTGTTTTAATTTGTTTTGTTTTTTTTAAATTCATTATTTCACATTTCAGTAAAAAGTCATATAAATGTACAACAAGATAAAAAACTGTTAAAAAAAAGTTTAAAATTTTCTTGAGAAGTTTCTTGAAAAATGGTATTTTACCCTTTTTTCAATTTTAAATTTAAATAACTTGAAAAAAAAAATTAATTTCATGTCATGTTACTAGCTGTATACCATAAAATATTAATAATGTTACTAAGAAAAAAACTTTAGGTTTACCTACTAAGAAAAAAACTGCAAATAATAAAAACAATTGTCAATCAACTCTTTAAGTAAAAATATAAAATTTTACTGAAATAAAATCCTAAATTTTTGTTTTTGTAATCCTTTTCGTTTCTTTTTTGATTTATGTTGATACTACTATTATTATTATTATTATTATTATTATTATTATTATTATTATTATTATTATTATTATTATTATTATTATTATTGCACTGCAAGGAGTGTACCTCTTGGTACAGAACATGAGCACATGTTCTGCTATAAGCAGATCAGGGCTTAGTGCCGGCCATTGTTAATTATTATAACTTAGTTTGATTGTTCTTTCTTTTAGCTATATAATATACTTCTAGGAAAAATAATTGCTAATAATATTTTCTTGCTAATATTACATCCCTAATAAAATAGTTTCTTATTGAGTCAGTGTGGAATTAAAAATATTCAGAGTAACTTTATTGAGAAAAAAATAAAAAATAAAAATCTATCAAAATCCCGTTGAAGCCCCCATGTCAGTAGCTTGTATTGCCTTAATGAAATTCATTCGTTAAATGTTTTGATAAAAAAAACAAGATCAAAGCAAAAAGCTTTTTTCTTTCCTCATACAAAACTAGTAGAAACTGAAATGCCTTACTTAAACTCTCAGAACAAAAACTTATGCAATTTATGCAGTAACTGCAATATATCCATGTATAACTACACCATAGAAATGTTAGTAGTGCTTTTTAGACCTTAAAAGACTCTTAGGTAGCAACTGAGTCCATTGCAACGTACCATAAAACGTTACCATAAAACGTACCATAAAACGTTACCATAAAACGTTACCATAAAATAAAGTTTATTCTCTACTTTGCTCACATATGTGCCTTTATATTTTACTCTAAACATTAACAAAGGTATCTGTTACGTCTTTAGAAGTCTAAATATTATGCTTTAAGGTCAAAAAGATTACTTGACAGGTAATAAATTGCGCATACTTTCTTCATGAGCAGATGTGTTTTTGCGAGCGTGATAAAAGAAAATAAATCGTAGTATTTTTAAGTTTTAGTATTTATATATTTTTAAAAATAGGAATCAACGGAATATCAACGGAAAAAAGAACACAAATAAAATAAAGTAATACATCATGGATAAATTATCAAACGAGGAACAAATTATTTCAATAAAGCTTGTTCGGGATATATTCAACGAAATGTTTATCAAGCAACAAAATGATATTCTAAAACTAATTAATGGAAATCTGAAACTAACAAACGATATAATTGATGGTCTGCTAAAAGAAATAAATACTGTAAAAGATTTGTGTGCGACACTCCAAAAAGAAAACATATTAATTAAAGAGGAACTAAAAAATTACGTTAAAAGATGAAACAAAAATGAAATTGTGCAAAAAGATATAGAAGAAAGTCTGAACTTTACACAAAACATGCAAGAAAAAAAAATCTCGAGTTAAAAAAAAAAATCATATCAAAATAAGTAAGCAGAGATACGGAAGATAATAAACTAAGGCAGCTTGAAGATAGACAAAGGAGGAATAATCTTAGAATAGAGGGTTTATCGGAAAATGAAAATGAAAATTGGGATGACACCGAACTGAAGGTATTAAATATTTTTGAAGAAAAACTTAGTTTAAAAGGAATTGTAATTGAACGAGCTCACAGGTCAGGAAAAATTAAAGCAGGTAAACCGAGATCAATAGTATTGAAACTGCTAAATTACAAGGATAAAGTAAAAGTTTTAAAAAGTGCGATTAAACTAAAAGGGTCTAGAATATATATCAATGAGGATTATTCAATGGAAACTGCATCTATCAGGAAAAAACTACTCGAGCAAATGAAGGTACATAGGAAAAATGGTATGCTTTCGGTTTTAATTTACGATAAATTAATAGCAAAAGAATTCAGGAAATTACCTACTTAACTTTAATTATTTTATATTTTAAATATTTTGTTAGTGTAACCTTTCTTGTTGTTATGGAAGATATGAATTTTTGTGAATTAAGCTTTAAGGCTTTCCAGACAAATAAAAATATACTTTTAGAGAGTCATTCTTATCCAGATGTTAATTTTTTTAACACTGATGAAATAATTAGCAACATATGCCCTTCTTATTATAATTCCGATATTTCTAATCTTTCTGCTGATATAGATATTAATGAGTTCTCTATTTTACACTTAAATATTAGGAGCCTCCAAAAAAATTTTGATAAATTTAAAGGTTTTTTATATAGTGTTGAAATTAATTTTAAAATTATTTGTCTGACAGAGACGTGGTGTCGAGATAAACAAGTGGAAAAAGATTCAAATTTTCAACTACAAAACTATAAAGTTATTTATCAAGTTAGAAATTCTGAGACAATAGGTGGCGGAGTATGCATTTTTATTCACAATTAATTTTAAACCCTAACCGAATTTAGTGTAATTAGTAATGATTGCGAATCATTAACGATTGAAGTTATAAATAAAATCAATAAAAACATCATTGTACATGTTGTGTACAGACCACCATCTAGCAATAACAAGTTTTTTTGAAAAACACTTTAAAAATTTAATTAAAAATAAATTTTATGTCGCAAACGTGTCTTTTTTGTGGGGGGTTTTGATTATAATGTGCTCGATTACGACACAAATAAAATTGTAAAAAATTTTATGAACATCATATTTCAAAATGGTTTCATTCCAACAATAAATAAACCAACACGAATTACTAGGAATAGCGCAACCTCAATTGATCAAATATTAATTAATGAATATGCAAAAAACAAAATAAAAACTGGAACAATAATATCTGATATATCGGATCATTTCCCAATATTTATAATCGCACATAAGGTTGTCGAACACACCCCTCAAAAAAAAGTTATTATTACAAATCGAATATATAATGACATTTCTATGGAACTTTTTAATAATTCTCTATTTTCTGTAAACTAGGACGAAATTTTTCAAATTCAAAACACAGATACTGCTTATAACAGTTTTCTTCAGATATTCAAAAAACACTATGATAATGCTTTTCCAGTAATAACAAAAATTATTAAAACTAAAACATTTATAAACCCTTGAATTACCCCAGGAATAATAAAATGACCAAAAAAAAAAAAAAAAAAAAACGATTGTATGAAATGTTTCTGAAAAAAAGAACTTATGAAAATGAATTAAGTTATAAAAAATATAAAGGTCACTTTGAATCAATTATAAAACTTTCAAAGAAGTTATACTATTCAAATAAAATAAAATTTAAAGGCGATACTCAAAAAACGTGGCAAGTCATTAAAGAAGTAATTGGAAAAAAACACTTAAGGTCTTCCAAAAAAACTAAATTATCATCATCAAGATATTACAAATTAATCTATAATTGCTAAAACATTTAATGAGGTGTTTGTCAATGCAGGTTTAAATTTAGCATCAGAATTAAAACACAGTAAGTTTAACAAGGAGAAGTACTTGAATCCTAGCAAATCGATAATGGAAAATGCTGTGTTAACAGAAAAAGAATTTTTAGATGCTGTGCATTCATTAAAATTAAACAAAGCACTAGGACTTGATAATATTAGTAGTAATGTTGTAACTAAATGTATTTTCTATATTAAAAAAGTTCTTCTGCATATATTTAATCTTTCGTTTAAATAAGGAATCTTTCAAAAAAAAAACTTAAAATTGCAAAAGTAATACCAGTTTTTAAATCTGGAGATGATACTAACTTTTTATTAAATCTTGATTTAAAAAAAATCAAGATTTAATAAAAATCAAACTTGATTTAATAAAATCAAGTAATAAAATCAAGTAA